TATTTTCTATTAAAAATTTTTTTTCATTTTTCTTTAAAAAAATCTAACTAACATTTCTCCATCATTTTTTTGTTGTGTATTTGATTTTTGATTTGTTTTCAAACGACTTGTACGATGTACAATAGTACGAGTTGTTTTACTACCACGTTCATGTATATTATGTGGACGTCTATGAATACCACTTTCATTATAACGAGTATTCAATGGTCTAAACACATCGAAAGAAAAATCAATTTATGATTCTAACAATGGTTACACAACAATAGTAAGAGATTATTACAGATCGCAAATCAGTAAGTCTCATCTGCTTTTTTTTTTTCTATTGTATTCCGGAAGGAATAAGTAAAATAATGGGTCTACGAAAGTTGCGCACAAGATCAAGTTCATATTAATACTTCGAAAGACAGCAAAAATACAAAGAGATAATAGAAGAAACAAAATTTCTATTTTATTTTCAACATAATAAATATAGCAATTAAGTATGTAAACAAAGTAAAAAAAATAAATTTTAAGTTGTTGTTATTGTATAGATATATGTAAATCAAGATGTCATTATAATCCGATAATGTTATTAAATTATAGAGCAATATTATGTGCTATACCAATTATTTGATCGATAATGTTTTGATGAGGATTTGAAACAAGATTAAGTAATCGTTTATCGAGATATTGATACTTCTTTTTTTTAACGACTAGTTCGTTGACATTGGCTCAAACGATCTTAATGTAAATATTAGATGTTGTTTTAATATCATAACATGTGTTTTACTAATAGAATTATTACATTTATGTATATGATAATGACAATTAAAAGTTTTATGATATTCACAACGCCAATACGTTTTCGTGTCGATTCGACGACCTTAACTATATAAATAACCATCTAATATCATTAAAGCATGATCTTTTGTGGTAGTAGTGAATTTGACAAAGAATAATTGATAATGAATTATTTCGAATGTGAATGATCATTTCTCATATATGTAACACATTTGTTCTCAAAATGAGCTCAACCTATCAAAAAGTCTACGTCTAATCATTATAGTTTATGATTGATTGAATTATATGATTACTCATTTGTAAATATGAAACTTTATCTAGTGCGCAAATGATTCGTGCGCAAATTTCGGGTTTCCAAAAAAATAGTGAAGAAATATGTTCGAAAATAACAATCTTCTTATGATTAGGAATGATATGTTGTGGAAAAATCGAAAATTTCAATTAATAGGATATTCTTTATTTCTAGCATAAGTATAGGTTGTAGTCATCCCGTCACTTACATCCAGTGGCGTACGCAGAAATTTTTCAAGGGGGGGCCCAACTTCGTAAGGGGGGGGCCCGCCATGGCACAAAAAATTTTTTACCACGCAAAAATATTTTTCCT